ACGGGCTGGGTGAGGGTATGGGCTGGGTGAGGGCATGGGCTGGGTGAGGGCATGGGTTGGGTGAGGGCATGGGATGGGTGAGGGCATGGGATGGGTGAGGGCACAGCTGGAGCACCATCTCCACCTCTCCGTGTCTCCCCGTTGGAGAGTTGAGTTCCCAACCCCAAGCACCACCTGGGAGGTTCCCAGCCGTGCCCAGGAGGGTGGGGAGGGTCTGGAACTAACCCATGCTCCATCCCCAGGGTCTGCTCTGGCCTACTCAGCCTACGTGTTCCCCCTGGAATGGGTGGGCACCACCTTCCACCACTGCTACGTCCCCCTGGCCGTGTTCAACACCGTGGTCAGCACCAGCCTGTCCTGCTACTCCAGGTGAGCTCCTGCTGCCCCTGGGGCTGCTGCAGAGCCCTCAGCAAGGGTTGGGATTGGGGTTACATCAGCATTAATCATTATTAGTCATTACTGTTAGTAACAAAGGGGATCAGTCAAAGGTTGTGGGAGCCTGAAGTTCAGGAAGAGGGAAGGAGGGGATTTTTGGAAAACGTGGTTTGTGTTGGCATTGGGAGTGCTGGATGATCCAAAGTGCAAGATAAAAGTGAAGGAGCTTTAGTTTTTGGAAGTTCAAGAGGTAATTCATGGAATCACAGAATGGTTTGGATTGGGAGAGATCTCACAGGCCATCCCAGGGCAGGGACACCTTCCACCAGCCCAGGGTGCTCCAAGCCCTGTCCAACCTGGCCTTGGACACTTCCAGGGGTGGACCAGCCACAGATTCTCTGGACAAGCTGTGCCAGGGCCTGCCCGCCCTCCCAGGGAGGAATTACTCCCATTATCCCACCTAACCCTGCCCCTGGCAGTGGGGAGCCCCTGGTGATGCTGCAGGTGGTGCCCACGTGTGTTCCTGTGCGTGGGGGGGACTCTCCAGCCCCTGGGATCCCTCTCCAAGCACAGCCAGTGCTGTGTGTGCCGTGTTTTGTTCCTGGATGGCATCAGATCGTTAGTTTGGAATAACTGGCATGTCCAAAACACCCAGCTGGTTCCCAGGGTGGGATCTGACTGTGCTGGGTCTCTCACTTGGTCAGTTTTTATTTCATTCCTTCCCTGAGGCTCTTTGGGAAGCTCTTTGGCATTATCACTTCCTTCATCTCTGGGACATCTCTGTATTTTGTGTTGTCTTGGGGCTTGGCATTTTTTTCCTCCTCTTCCTTATTTCTTTCTCTCCCTTTCTCTCTTTCCCCTCTTATTTCTGTCTCGTGCATCTCTCTGGTGTCTCACTAGGCAGGTTTAGCAAACAAGACCCACTCACCGTGTGCTAATCCCGGTGCTTCCCACTTGGAGATACCCTAGGGAAGCATCAGCAGCTCGGGATCAGGTCCAGAGTAATTTGGATTGGTTAAAAAAAATCCTTGACCCACCAAATTAGTTGTCAGCATCCCTTCTACTCCAAACTGTAAGTACAGGTATGTGAGAACCAACCCCTGGGGTGTGAGAGAGCAGGGATTCCTGTTGGCTCCAGAATTTTCTTTAGGGGAGCTCTTGTCTCCTAGAATTTTCCTGAGGTAAATCCATCAAATCTAAGATTAAAAATTAAGAAAAAAAAAAATCCTCACCCCCTCCCCAGGTGAGCAGGAACACTGAAGATACCAGCCCAGTGTGGCCCAGTAAAGCTGCTGGTGGAGCCCACGGTGGGAGGGAAGGGTGTCCTTGAGACCCCCATGGGGCCACCCATTCCCACCACAGGGATTCCCTTTGGAATCCCCCGGGCTGGTCACAGCAGCCTCTCCAAGGTGGGGTTGGGTGGGAGTGGAGCCAGAACCCAGTTGTGCAATGGGAGGTGGTGCCAGGAGGGGCCTGGCTGGGCACTGCTACTGCTGCTCCTGTCCCTGCTCTAATTCCTGCTTCAATTCCTGTTCCTGCTCCTGCTCCTGTTCTTGCTCCAACTCCTGCTCCTGCTCCTGCCCCTGCCCAGAACAGCAATGCTGTCGGAGCAGCTCCAAACCCACACCCTGGGCAGGGCTTGGGCTGAGCTTCAGCACCCGGAAAATGAAGCAGAACAGAGCAGAGGCACCTTCACCATCCCTGGGGGCTTTGGACTGCCAGAGAGCAGGGTTGGTGGGAGATTGGGAAGGAATTGCTGGCTGGGAGGGTGGCCAGGCCCTGGCACAGGTTGGGCAGAGAAGCTGTGGCTGCCCCTGGATCCCTGGAAGTGTCCCAGACCAGGTTGGATGAACTTGGAGCAGCCTGGGCTGGTGGAAGGTGTCCCTGCTCAAACCATTCCAGGATTCTAATTGTGCACGTCCATGGGGAGATCCGTGGGCAGCAGATCAGCCCCCCTGACAGCAGAGTGCAGTGTATCCCGCTGTTCCATATGGAATTCCCGTCTGTTCCCCAGGTTCCTGGAGGTGGAGAGGCCCCGGCTCAGCAAGGCCTGGCGCACCCTGGCCTTCGTGTACCCCTACCTGTTCGACAGCATCCCCCTCTTCTACAGGGTATGTATCCCACGGGATTCCCCCAGCCTGGCCTGCTGCAGCCTTGGGAATATCAGCTGCCTCATCTTACTCCGAAAACATTTGGGAAAACGGGCCAAGCTTTTATTTTTCTAAAGGCAAACAAACCCCGGCAGGAAAAGGGACTTGGGTATTTTTTCCTGCGCCCACTGACAGGCAGATTCCTTGACTTCAAAGGGCCCAGGCTGGAAAATTCCTGCCTTTGGAAGCTGCAAAGTGCCTTTTCCAGTGGCTGAGTTGGAACAGGGTGGGAATTTGGCTGCAATGAAGTGCAAGGACAGGGATTTGCGTGGAAAATTCCTGCCTTTGGAAGCTGCAAAGTGCTTTTTGCAGTAGCTGAACCGGAGGGGTGGGAATTTGGCAGCAGTGGAGAGGGATGTAGGGCTGGAATTTCATGGAAAATTCCTGCCTCTGGAAGCTCTAAAGTGCCTTTTCCAGGCTGAGCTGGGGCAGGGTGGGAATTTGGCTGCAGTGGGTGCAGGACAGGGATGCAGGGCTGGGATGTGCTCGGGTGCAGGTGGGATGTGGGATCGAGGGGGGGGTGGTCCTGCAGCTGTGGGTCCAGGAACGGCTGTTCCTGCTCCGGGAATGATTTATCCCGCTTTTCCCTGGCTGCAGCTGTACCTGTGTGCCCTGGAGGGCTGCTCAGAGGGCTCCATCCTGCTGCACTACAAACACACGGGCTGTGCCCTCCTCACCTGCTTCATCTTCGCCACCCACCTGCCCGAGCGCCTGGCACCGGGCACCTTCGACTACATCGGTGAGTCCTCGGGAACGCCGGGAATGACCTGCCTGCAGCAGCAGGGGCTGCCAGAGGAGCTCACGTGTTCCCTGCTGGAAACGTGGCAGGGGGTTCTCTAGGCAGGGCACGGCAGTAGCTTGTGTGTATTTGGGGATATTTTGGGGGATGTTTTGTGCGGAATGTTTTGCTTCCAAAATCTTCCACGGAGGGTTTCACGCCCACCAGATGCTCATTTCTCATGGAAAACCCCTGAGCTGGTGCCATCTCAGGGCGCTGCTGGAGCAGCCACCAGGAGCTGGGATGGAATAGGATGGGATGGGATGGGATGGGATGGGATGGGATGGGATGGGATGGGATGGGATGGACGCCTTTGGGGTTTTCCCTGTTCGGCCACACCATGGACAACCAGAGCTCTGGGCACATCCCTGTGCCAGGACTGCGGCACAAACACATCCCTCATTCCCATTCCATTTGGGAAGGAAGAGCTCTGTGCAGGATGATAAAAGCCACAGGAATTAGTAGAGTAAATATTTAAAGGCAATAGAGGGAGGGCAGAGTGTGTGGAGAGTGTCTGAGTGAATCATGGAATCCTGGAATGGTGTGGGCGGGAAGGGACCTTAAATCCCATCCCATCCCATCCCATCCCATCCCATCCCATCCCATCCCATCCCATCCCATCCCATCCCATCCCATCCCATCCCATCCCATCCCATCCCATCCCATCCCCTAGCCCAGGTTACTCCAAGCCCTGTCCAACCTTGCCTGGGACATTCCAGGGATGGGGCAGCTTCTCTGGACAAGCTGAACACCCAAGGAGTTCCCCGAGTGCTTTGTCCCTTCCTTCTGTTTTGGGGCATCTCTGTATTTTGGGGTCTTTGTGTTTTGGGGTCTTTGTGGTTTGGATTCTTTTTGTGTTTTGTGTTCTTTGCATTTTTGGGTTTCTCTGTGTCTTTGGGTCTTCATATCCTGGGTTTCTCTGTGCCCTGGGTTGACCCTGCGCTCTGGGGTGCCCTTTGGCAGGTGTGCTCCCGTCACCACGTCCCCTCGTTCCTTGCAGGGCACAGCCACCAAGTTTTCCACGTGTGTGGGATCCTGGGGACGCACTTCCAGATGGAGGCCATCCTGAGGGACATGGCTGAGAGGCACAGCCAGGTGCTGCTGCCCTCCTCCCTGCAGACCCTGTGCTCCGTGGGGGTGTGCGTGACCGGCAGCCTCATCGTCATCGGCGTCAGCGCCGCGTCCCTGCCCCTCATCCCCGAGCCTCTGCACAGGGACAAACCCCACTAGGGCTGGGGACTGGGGGCATTCCTGCTGCTCCACCCACACCCAGCACGGTGCTGGTGTGCAGGAGGAGCCTGTTTGCTCCCAGTGTTTACTGATGATCTTCTCACGGGCTCGAGGAGCTGCACTGGTTTTACCCGCTGAGCTTTGACGCTGCAAACGGGTTGGGAGACGCTTTAAATCCAGTTGTTATCCCGGGGAAGATGTAAAATATCCTGAATTTTATCTGGAGAAAGGGGCAGGAGCGCTGCCGCTTCCCAAAGCAGTGGGGATTCGCTGGGTGTGCCTTAGGGAGGGGTCACAGGGAATGTGGTGACACCGATGGCACCACTTTGGAGGGATGGCCACAACCCCCAGGGGGGCACGAGGGCTCCCTGACTCCTCCTCTCACCTTCCAAGGGGCATCATTGTGGAATTTGAAGCCTTAAATATCCACCTCACACGGCCTTAAACCCCACCTCAGTGCCTGACAGACGTGGGATTGGGGGACTGGTTTCAAATGAGCTGGTTCGGATCAATACCTGGAAAAAGGGATTCTGGAAGGCTCAGGATCCGTGGGCTGTTCCTCCAGAATAGCTGGGTTTGGGGTCTAAATCTGGCACAAAGGGTAGTAATTCCTGGGGGAGAGCTGAGCTCCCATGTTGGTAAAGCAATTCCATCCTTTCCTGGGTGTTTCTGGATGGCCCCTGGGATGGAGGGGCTGACACGGGAGAGCCAAACCTTCAAACCCCTCTGGGCTTTGGGGTCACTCACGGGGGATAATGTTTGGAATGTTCTGTTGGATGAGGGGTTGGGATGGGGGGGTCCAGGAGGGTGAACCACCAGCAGAGCAGGGAGTGGCATCTGGGCAGGATTTGGGATTAAATACCCAGGGGATCAAACCCCTGGGATTTTAAAGCATTCCCAGGGTTATCCCTCTGCTCCTGCTCCTTGCTTCCCTTTCCTGCTGCTCCT